TCATAAAATGACCAGGTAATAACACCGAACCGGAGGGTCAAGCCGAGCACACCTAAGGAGCCAGGGAGAAAGATTAGATCTTTGCCTGCCATAGAGTCCCCTGGGAGTCCCCAGCCTGGCACGGGGCGATCATCCACCCACAGGAACCCCTTGGAGCCCCTCTAGACATGACCAGTTAACCCTTCCCACAATGCAACCCCCCGGGTCTAAGTCCAGACTCGGCCAAGTTCAACGCGCTAGGCCATCTTGCCCACATCCGTGCCTTTTCTGCAGACAACACAAACACAATACCAATTTGTGTAAGTAGACCTCTCCAGTATCAGGTCTCAGGCCAGACTCCATTTCATGGTACTTTTTCTTTAGCCTCAGCTTGGCTCCCAGTTCATAGGCTCAGCCTCCTACCCCTAATTCCTCTGGGCTCTGCCCTTGTGCCCTTTCTACCCCACCTCCACCAAGGGGCCTGTGCCTGCCTCCTTTCTCTCTTCCTCTCTGCCAGCCCTAGGGCATGCATAAGTGAGTGAATATGAGCATGCGTGCAAATGAGAGCATTGTGTGTGACTACATGCGTGCATGAATGCCTGTGAACGTGTGCATTAAGCAAGGGCACAGGTGAGAGTGTACGTACGAGGGTCTGCGATGCTCCCTTTGAGGTGGAAGCTGGTATAAGGGATCATTCATTCAATCAATACATTGATTAGGGCTCACTGTGGGAGAAGACTAAGAAAACAGCAGTGAAAAGAGGGACAAAGCCCTACCTCCCCGGGGACAGTGGCCTAGGAGTGCGCTACGAGTGCCAAGGCAGTGGCTCTAAGGGACAGGCAATGGCTCTTTGGGTCTCTAATAAAGCCAAACAGAGCGTTGCGTCTGTGATCTCACCTCCCCACTCACTCTTTAGCCCTACGCTCGGCCCTTCCGGGGCCCCTTCCCGCTTCAAACCCACGCACGCCCCACCCCCAGCGTCCGGGTCGGGGCCTCCACCCCACCCCCTGCCCTCACGGCCTGGTCCCGCCCCTTCCGCGCCCACGCATTTGGGTCCTTCCCCTCGTGCTCGCTGTCCCCGCCCCTTCCGGGCACACCCACTAGGCTCCTCCCCCTCCAGCCACGCCGGTCCCTCGCCTTTCACACACATCCCTCAGGTTGGCGCCTCTCCTTCCGCCGGTGCGGGAGAGCCCGTTTCTCTCGGGGTTGCGCCCTCCCAGGGCGATAGAAGCCTGAGTCAGTTAAGCTCTTTGGGAGAGGTTGGAGTCTGCATCTTCCAGGGGCTCACAGGTCCTGCATTTAGCGCTGGCTCCCGCTCCCTCACCACTGGGTGTACGTGCGGGGAGGGGCTGCGGTGTCCTTCGCTACAGCGGACCAGGGTCCCCTGGCCCAGCGGAAATGTGCTGTGCGGCAGGAGGGGCATGGAGGCTGTGGGGTCGGCTGCGGGGGAGGGGCAGGTACCCAGAGGTCACCGAGCAGCCCGAAAAATCACTCAGTGGTGTGCGGTCAGCGTGCTCACGTGAGGCAGTAAAAGAGCACATTGAGGCAGCTGTATTCAAATCCTGCTCTTCAGCTGTCCCCTGGTGCCTTAACCTCTTGGGGCCTCATTTCACTCCCTGAAAAAATACTTTTAATTGATACCTACTACAGGAAGAGGTTGTAAAGATAATGAGTGGGCAGGGCACACTGAAGATGGTTCCTACATAGTACCCATCCCAATTATGGCAGTTCATCCTTACTGCCAATCTGAGAGAATTAGTCCCAGGTAGGAGCTTCTTCCAGGTCAGTGGCTGGCAAAGCTTTGCCATCATCAGAATCACTCAGGGGGCACGTGTGTTAAAACACGAATCTCTGGGTTCACTTCTCCAGAGGGTCTCCTGCAGATTGGGGCAGGGCCTGAGAACTTATTTCTGACAGGGTCTTGGGATGGTGGGTGGCTGCTGCTGTGGGTTGGGGGACCACAGCGTCATTTACAGATGATAATCCCAAGGTTCAGAGTGCAGGGTGAGCTCCCTCTCAGCTCCTTGCTCATGGACTGTTGCATCCTTCCAGGTCCAGGCAAGGCCAGGAGATTCAGGCTGGATGACAGGAGGACAAGGTGCCAGGCACCTCGAGACTATCAGGATGCCAAACTGGCACTTGAGCAAAAGGCCATAGGGGTGGACCTTAGTTCTAGTGGGAAGAATGAGCTTTCAAAACAGCAAGCCACTGTTGTGCCCAGCAGAAAAGTGACCTCGGTAGGACCTGAGCCACGGCAGCCCGAGATGTGTGTGAGCATGGGGCGGGAGGCATGAGAGTGTTAGCACTCCTGAGTGTATCAGTGTGCCTGTGATGTCATAACAAGGTACTGCAGGCCAAGTGCCCTGAATCACAGACAGGTATCTCCTCACTGTCATGGTTTAGGCAGAGCTGGTCTCCCTTGCAGCCTCTCTGTGCAGATTGTAAGTGGCTGTCTTCTGCTGTGTCTTGATCCCCTCTTCTTATGAAGACCCCAGTCAGATTGGATTGGGGCCCACCCTCATGACCTGATTTTGATGTAGTTATCTCTTTAAGATCCCGTGGAGATTCTGGAGGTTAGGGCTGTGGCATATAAACTTGAAAGTGCATGCGTGAATGTGCTCATCTGTGTGTATGGGGTGGGGGGCTAGAGAACCTTGAGAGGGCTTTACAGGAAGCAGCCATTTTGGAACCCTAGAGGGGCCTCCTTCCCCAGGAGGTTCTTGCGGGTGAGAAATCTAACCTCCTTCCGCCTCATCCTGGGTTTCTGGGTTTATGAAGGGGCTGAGGAGCTCTGTGGCCTCTCAGGTCAATGTGGCCCTTTAGGGGTCAGGGTTTAACATGAAGTTTTCCTGGATCCAAGCTGCCCGTCCTTGGGCCCCCTTCATGTGACAGCAACTGCCTCTTGGGCCACCCTAAGGGACACTTTCTGCATCAGAAGAAAAGCAAGAAGAGCAGGAGGGAGCTGGCTGACCTCCAGGGACAGGCAGCTGTGCTCACACCACCCTCGGCCTGAATTCTCCCTGTGTGTGCTCTGTATGTCCCTCGGGGCCAGGTTCTTCCTGTTGTAAAGCTGAAAGAGTCATTTCTGAGGCTCCTTCCAGCTAGTTTAACCGGCTCTCATGGTGAAAGAACTGTTGGTGGGCTTGGAGGGAGATGTGGCAAGAGGATATTGAAGTTTTTCGCAAGGGTTGTTTTCCATCTGGGACGGGCACGTTACCTAACGAGCTGTCCCTTATGGGAACTGAGCAAAAACTACTCACTGGCACCATCTCAGCCACTGGCTGTACTTGAGACGGTGGGACAGTGATTTTGCTTCTGAGGGCAGTAAACACAAGAGAAAGTGCTGCTGGCTTTAGTTTGAACTGGAAATGGCCTGAGGGACAAAACCATTGAAAAACTCCAGGCTCTCTTGAGGGACCTAGGGTTGTGGGGTTTGCACTGGTAGAGGAGCCAGGCCCATGTGTAAATGGCATAGCAGTGAGTGCATGGCCCAGAGCAGGACTCAGCCCAGGACCTACTTTGTAGTTTGCTCTCTCTAAATGTCTGCTGACTGAACGAATGACTGATTGCAGGAATGAAAAATGCAATTTAAAGGAGGACAAACATTTGCCATGCAGGCAAGTTGGGGCTGGAAGTGATGGAGAGATGTTACTACTGGCTTCCTTCTGAGGTTCATTGTAGTGGCCTTGGGCCTTTAAGAATAGCTTTCAGTCAGGAGACTGGCCAGGCTGCCTAAAATTACTGAGTAAGCCCCAGTAGAATACTAGAAGGCAAATAAAAGAAGACTTCTGAAGAATTTTTCTTCCTTGCTTGTATGTTCCGTGAAAAAAGCAATTACAATTATAGTGGAAGGAAAAAGACTGGAAAGGAAATTTAAAAATAATAGTAATTTTATGGAGTGGTGGATGATGGCTAAATGCAATTTTTCTTCTTGACTCTCACTCCACCTCTGTTCTTTCCTCTCCACTGCCTGGCAGGCCATTGTCACATAAGGGGCAAAATCCCCTCTCGGGGTGCATCTAGGCCTTCTTCCAGCCTTCTCCCACTACTTCGTAGTATGAACATCTCCTGCCCCAGACTGTGGCCGTGGATGGAAGCAAAGTTGGTAGGAACCCCACCCCCTCCTCCCCTTCCATCCACTAGAGACTTACAAACTCCCAAAGCCAAGCCCCCAAGATTCAATGCTCCCACAGTTATGAGATGACCAATTTGTGGCTCTAGGACTGTCCCCTGACATATCTATGCAGGCTTATGTGGAGATCAGATGGGAAGAATGAGGCCTAATTGGCCTTCTCAGAGAGCACTGAGCAGAGGGCATGCAAGCATGCTAACACGCTAGAGGGAAAAGTAGAAACACCTGAGGTTAAGTTGTTTACCCGGAGAAGTACCGTGGAGGAGGGAGACAGATGAGTCCTGTGGAACCCTAATTGCCTGGGCCAGTGTCTGACTAAAGCCAAGGTGCGCCAGGCACTTGAAGCTCTATGTTGAAGGGAGACGTGAGCCTCCTGGCCCCCCAGGTTTTAACCTATTTCTGTGTCTCTTTATTTTTCATCTTCATCACCTATTGGTCAGGTTCGAGCTCAGCTTGTAGGCTGGTTCCTACAGGCTGAGGTCAAATATTGAATTACAGAGAAGTGGTTGTTGCAACCAAGGTTTCCCGAGGAAACGAAAGTGAGGGTTTGGTTTCCACTCAGATTGAGCAACTTCCTCCAAGGGCACTCCCCATTCAGGCAAATGTGGCCTTTTAATGTGAACGGTCCAAGAGCACATCTGAGGGGAGTGATCAAGCATGTGACATAAATACATAAATACCTGTGGGAGGAAGCTGGCCTGTAACCAGTCACTCTAGTGGGGTTGTTTACATGAGCTTAATTGTCCACTCTAATCACCTTAGGAATTTGGACTAAGCCAAGGTCCCAGTTCAAGGGCTGTGTGGGGTGAGGAAGGGACTGCTAAGGATGTACTGCCAGATCAAAAAGTGCAACCTCAAGTCCCAGGGGACATTCCACATTTCACTGTGGCCACTGTGATATAAACCTACACTGAAGCTCTGGATCCTGTTTGTCAAAGCTTTGTCTCCTCTGCAGGAATCTGGCAACAGAGCCCTTCCTCAGCAGAACCCAGGGACTCAGCCTTCCCTGTGCCCAAAAGCCTGGGCAGGGAATGCAGCCTGGCCCATCTCTGCAGAGAGGGGAAACGTACCCACTTCCCTCAGCCATTGCCAAGAGGCCCATACTTCAGGGCCACTTCCCTCTGGCGCATGGCTAGTTGCGTCTGCACTGGTGTTGGTGGGTGTTTGAACTCCTGCCCTCTTCCTATAAGGAGACTCCGGACCTAAATCTCCTATCCTCTGCTGTTGGCAATCTCTTTATCAGTGACTCGCAGCCTCAAACTTTTCTATCACGAAAGGAAAAACCAGTGAAGAGAGCCCAGTGCCAGGCCTATCTGCCTTCAGTGGCTGGCTCCTGTTCCCTCCTCAGGGCTCCCTGTTGTGCAACCTGGACCTGCCCCAATAGGTAAGATTCTCAAGGGGTGGCACTCATCAGGGAAGGCAGGTGTTAAGGTATTCTGTGCAGTGGTACAGCCTAGGGGAGCTCAGATCAGAGGAACCTTGGACTATGTAGACAGAGATAGCGCTCTTACTGTTACCAGAGAGCTTTGGGGAGGTAGACCGGAATGGGCTGTTCTATTCTGGCTATGGAATTTTCTGCACATTTTAGGCAAGGATCTAGAAACTGCAAAAGGCTAGAAACACTCCAGCATGTATGGCAGTGGTTTCTAGTCTTCCTGGGAAATGACTGTCCCACTATATGTAGATGTTGCACATGACTTCCCTGTCTCAAACTTGACTGTATTTCTGTACTCTTTATTTCTGTTTACCTACTCTCACCCACATGGCTAGTGGGATTTAAGAACAAACATCTGTGTAGACCCATTTCCAGAAGATACTGCACCAAATGCTCTTTTGACCCCTGAACATGCTGTATCAGATTTAACCCCAGCAAAACCCTATAAGGTGAGTGCAGTTATAACTTGGTCTTGTCCACTTTCTGTTACTGTAATAGAATACCTGAGAATGGGTAATTTATAAAGAAAAAAAGGTTTATTGGGTCCATGGTTATGAAGGCTGTAAAGTACAAAATTGGATGACCACATCTGGTGAGGGCCATGTGTGGCTGGAAAAGAGAATAGCCTACTCTCAAAATAATCCAGTCCTGTGCCCGTGAAAGGTCAGTCAGAGAAAAAGCATTAATCTCTTTGTGATGGCGCTTCCCCCATGACCTAAACACCTCCCTTGAGGCTCTGCCTCTTAGCTCAGCTGCCGTGGTAACCACACTCCAACATGAGTGTCCCAGCTGACAAACCACAGTCCAATCATAGGACCTTCATTTTCTAACACTACTGTAGGCAGCCTGAACTCTCAAGGTTATGTGGTCAGTCCTGGGACAGAGGCAGGTGTGAGCCCAGGCAATCTGACTCCAGCACCTCGGCTTTGGGCCTCACACTGAGGCAGTAAAGAGGGACTCTCGGAGCCAAACTTCTCTCTTACTTGCTGTGAAATCATGGTGAGTCAAGATACTTCACTTTTCTGAGCTGGAGTTTCCACCTCTGTAAAATAGGGGGTGATAATGCCTACGGGTAAAGGGGGCTGTGATAATTAAACAACTTAATAAATATGCATTGCAAAGCACCACACATGCTAACTGCTATTCTTATTGGGCTGTGCCTCCCTGCATATTTATGCCCCTCATTTAACACTAGAGCAGACCTTTTAGAGATTATTTCAAAAACATTTTAACCTTATAGAAAATGTGTGAGTATAATTGTATGAGCTCCACAGATTCTTCAGATTCACAGATTGTTAATACTTTTCCACATTTGCATTATCTCTATTTTTCCTTTCAATCTGTAAATACCATCCTTATTTTTGTTAGACCATTTGCCGGTTAAGTTGCCAGAATTTTCATCCTTTACCTCTAAGAAAAGAACATTCTCTCATATGACCACATTGCAATGATCATATTGAGGAAATTCAGCATTGATACAATACTGTGACCTAATGTACAATCCACGTTTAGATGGCACCAATTGGCCCAACAATCTCACAGGAGAGAAATCATGTCTCCTAGCTCCTGTGCTCAGTCCAGAGTCACAGGCTGCTTTCAGTTGCCAAGTCAAGTGCATCTCCTTTAAATTGAATCACTTTTCAGTCTTGGTTGTCTTTCACGTGTTGTTTCTGAAGAATGCAGTTTGTAGGATGCCTCTCACATTCTGATTTCTTCCCCGTGATCAGGCTTAGATCAAGCAGATTGGGGACAAATGCTACATAAAGGATGTCTTCTCAGTGGCCCACACCAAGAGGTGCATGATGTTTCAATTTGTGGGAAGATTCTTTAATAAGACCATAGACAATTTGTTCCTCTCAGACGTGCACATGGCCGACTCCAGAACAGATCACAAGGCTGCATGCTCTGTGACACAGGGACACAGGTGTTCACAGGATGTGTCCCACCCATCCTTCCTTCCTCACCTTGCCATGTCCTCCTGGCTTTTAGGGAACTGGGTCCCTCTCATGTCCCTCCCCACCCATTTTGGAGGCTCACCGAGAGTAGGCACTCTGCAAATCCTTGCCAAAACAAAATAAATAGAATGTATGTGACCTGAAGCCCTGTCCATGTCTTGGAGTGGGTGCTAGGAGACAAGGAATAAATGTCACCCGCATGCACGTGTGTTTGCATGAGCACAGGCATCAGGGGATGATAGGTGAAGGGGGTGGGGGGAGGGGACACTTTGCACACTCAGAAACAACAGATTTACAAGCAGGATGTGAATGAATCTGAAAAACATGGTTGATTGAAAGATATAGAATAAAATGGATGGCACCATATCATTTGTGGAACTGGCACACAAAATGATGCTACACATGCCTGTGTCACATACACGTATGTGTATACATATAAGGACATGTATGTAAACGTGATCGTGAGAAAGCCCAAGGAAGGGATGAGAATGGAAGTTTAGAAGGGAATAAAGGGAGTAAACAACACAAGACAGGAGCTGTGCCAGGATGTGTGATAGGGGAGGAGGAACTGAGGTGAGGAGGTCTCAACTCACTGACCCGAGTGCCAGAGGGGAGGAAAGAGATATTGTTGCTAAGAGCAAGGAAACAAATGTACTCTTCCCCCTCCCTGCACCCTAGGGCTGCACTCCTTCTTCTGCCAAATAAGGAGTCTCAGGATGCACAGCCTCAGACCTGCCATGGCAGGAAGGCAGTAGAGCAAACATGGTAGCCAGAGGAGACAGGGAGCCCCCTGCAGCTGGGGCCACCTCGCTGATCACATGAGCCTAGTTCACATTCCAGCTCCATCATGTACTAGATACATGACCTCCAGGGGAGCTGCCTTATCGCTCCAAAGTTCAGGTTTCCCAGGGCCAATGCAAGCAAAACCCCCAGCAGAGGGCCATGTTCTTAGAAATTCTTAGTTATTGTCATACTTCTCTTTTTCCACCCTAACAAGATTGCCAAACTTAGTTCCAGAACATCTCTCTGGACCTTTGGGACATATACAGGCTGGTTACCAGCAATCTTGGCTGACTGACATTGACAGCTTTCACTATTACAGGGCAGTAAGCCTGAACATTCATGGTCAGCTACTAGGATCGGGCCAGAGGTAGACTAGTACAAACTCACCTGGGAACATTCCTCTGCAAGAGCAAGAGGAAGCCAGACTCTGCTCTGTTGCCCTCTTCACTGGGAAGCTCTGGAATTGCACTGTGCTTGGAACAGCTTCTTCCTTCTAGAAATCCAGGCTGAAATCAGAGAAGTAATTGAGTTAAAGTACTAGAAAGAGGCTGTGTGTGTGTATGTGTATGTGTGAGCCCATTCTAGGAGGTTCCCGTGTCTGAATTTTGTTTTATGGCACATTTACCAGGCCCAGTTTGTGCCTGACTTTGGGAAATCACTTTGGCAGGAATTATGAGCACAGTTTTGAAATCTGCACTTATCAGAGAGCACCTGGTTGCAGTGGGGCAATAATGACATGACGAGCCAGAGTTTCTCTGGGACAAAGGGTGGAGCAGCTCTCTGTGGCTGAGATTACAGAGCCACCCAAACTGCCTTCAGTGTGGAATGTGGTGGGGAACTAAGGATGGCTGTGCAGGGCTGGGTGCACAGAGTGAGTGCAAGCTGGCCCCTCAAAAGCACAGGAGTCAGAACCACATCTGGGGCTGTCCCCTCACTGATCTGTGCAGGATGCCACATTGAGAACCCCTTGCTGCCAGCCACTGTGGCTGGCGCCTCTTGTTCTCCAGCAGCTGCCCCACAGTCTGGCCCAAACCAGCTAGTCAGCAAACAGTTGTAAAATAGCATTAAGGACGAAGGGAATTCAATGAAAATTTAAAACAAAAAGAAGCTATCGCTTTTTCTTTTGCGGTGCAGCCAACTAAAACAAACAACAGATTTTATGCACCCAAGGGTGTTTGACCCCCACCTTGTTGGCTTCTAATACTGTTTTTCCCCCTTTAGGATCACAGCATTGGGTCTTCCTGGATGTCACACAAACACCTTTGCCAGCCCAGCACAGGGTCCCTGCCCTCAGCAGTGTAGTGAGTAGGCATCTGCAGACACCTCTGATGATTCATTCTTGGCCTCGCTCTCCAGAGCACCATCAGCAGGGCATTTTCTGGCTCCAGGGAGGAAGTGTGGCTAGCAAGAGAAGAGCAGGAGGGCCAGTCCTTCCTCAGCCTGCTGAGTCAGACCCCTGACGCTTAAAGAAACAAGAAACACAGGCTCCCTCTGCTCCCTCTCTCATCTGGTATTCCAGATCCCTTCAAGGCATCTTGTTCTTCCAGGAGCTGCTGAGAAGGTGTGATTCATTTCAGGCAGAGTCCCCTGAACCCAAAGTACTGAGCCTCCTGTCCCCAGCAAATGTCTTAAACTGAATTTGATGCTGACTCCTTTTTTCTCCTTGATTTGATGAATTTGCTAGGACAGCTCACAGAACTAGTGGAGGGTAGTGGAATTTTTAAGAGGTGGAGTCTAGCTGGCATAGTGGCATGCATCTGTGGTCTCAGGTACTTGAGAGGCTGAGGCTGAAGGATTGCTTGAGACCAAGAGTTCAAGTGACTGTCTTGTCTCATTGTTAGGTATAGGAAAGTGAAATTTAGAATCAAAAAATGCAGTAATATCTTGGTGAAAAAAGACCACTTACCGGTTTGGTCTCTATGTGTTGGAACCAGAGATTTGAAGGGTGATCAGTTGAGGCCAGCGGAAAGAACATGAACTTTGCAGTAGGATATGTTTCAGAAGTCCCGCTCTGCTGCCCATGTGCACAGTTGAGTGTCTTGTAACAGCATCAAGTGTACCATAGGCCACATGTGCTACAAGTGTCCCATAAGATTATGATGCAGCTGAAGAGTTCCTGTTAACTGCTGTCCAAAAGTGGTAGTGCAATGCATTGCTTCTGTGTTTGTGATGATGCTGATGTAGAGATGCCCACTGCACTGCTAGTCATATAAAAATACACAAGTATGCATAGTCCATTATGCTTAATAATGAACTACTGTGTTACTGGTTTATGTATTTACCCTGCTGTTTTAGAGTATACTCATACTATAAAAACAAAATTTATTGTGAAATGCATGCTTGTGCTCTATCAAGAGGCCATGACAAGTGACTGTCCTGTCTCATCTAAATTTGTATAAGTGTAGTCTATGATGTTTGTACAGCAATGAAATCACCTAACCATGAATTCCTCAGGACGTATTCTGTTATTAAGGGAAATGTGACTGTATTTACTTAGCAAAATCCAGAGTTCTTGGCAGTTTGGGCAGTAGGAGATGGCCTAGGTGGGGACTCATAAACCCAAGCTCTAGGATGTGGCAGCTGTATTTCCGTCATGGCTCTGTGATTGGTTTCTGAGTGACCCTGGGAAAAATTCCTTAACACATCTGGGCCTCAATGACTTCACTTATAAAGTCAGAGTAATACTTGTACCTATCTATAAACTGTCATGAGGACTAAATGATTTCATTCATGCAAAGTTCCTCGGGGGTGTAGAAAAGGGAGGGTGTAAAGGTAGCTAATACTTGCAAAATTGGGCTAATGATGCCTAGCCAACAGAAAAGTTGTGGGGAAGATTTAAAAAGCTAACATTTAGGTACCCAGCACATGCTGTACACCCGGTGATGCTGGTATCCCTCCTAACTCTGGTGTATTTGCAATATTTGATGTACCTGCAAACTTGGAAAGGAAGCATATAAGGTGGGCGAGAAGATGTTACAGCACCCAGCAGGTGGTGTCACCCATAGGAGCCTTGAGCCCAAGAGGTCTTATTGCATCTTCTCTGGCTTCCCTGGTTTTCTGGCCTTGAAGCGAAGTCCTCTGGGAGCTGGACTAGGTTCCCTCTTGGATGAACCTCTCTCCATGGGGTGGCCCCTAGTTTGGGCCCTGAGGTTCTGGGTGGCCCCATCTCCATTGTAAGCCCTATTCATCACCCAGAGCAGAGGTCAGCAAGCTTCTCAAAAGTCCTTGTAGTGGCTGTGTGTGACTTTGAGGGTCATACAGCTGTGTTGATGTTACTCAGCTCTGCCTTGTATCTCACAGACAGTAACTTTGTGAATGGGCTTTGGTGCACGTTCCAGGAAAAGTAGAAATTTCCATTTCATTTAATTTTCATGTGTCAAGAAATAGCATTCTTCTATTGGTTTCCCAACCACTTGAAACTGTGAAGACAGCCTCAGTTCACAGGCCATGGAAAAACAGGAGTGAGGCTCAATTTGGCTCATGGGCCAAAGCCTGAAAACCCTGCAGATCTCTCTTCCAGACTAGAAGGTTTTCTTATTGCAAATGTCTAGTCATTGTTATTTGATTTTTATTCTGCTTCTATATCAGATTTAACCCTAGCCTCATAGGTGAACATGCTTTATTCCCATTTTCTTACTTCTTAAGTAGATATGATCTTTTGACCACACCCATTAGCCTATCTATGAATTGTGGTTATCTATTGACGTATGATAATGGACTTTAGCAACTCTGAACTTTTTATTCTCTTTTCATTTTTGTTTCAAAATCAGTGTCTGCTCAACAGTCATTACTGTATGGTATTTTTAAAACTATGGTTAAGGGCTGGGGATGTAGCTTAGTGGTAGAGCACTTACCTGGTATGTGCAAGGCCCTAGGTTCAATTTCAGTACCAGAAACACAAATAAACAAACAAAAAACTGTGGTTAAATACAACTAAGGTGAAATTAACCACTGTAACCATCTAAAGCAACCATTCACAGACATTAAGTACATTCACAATGTTGCAAAGCCATCACCTCCTTCTAGTTCTAACATTTCCATTTCTCCGTCATTAGTTTATTTTCCATCCCTTTGGTGGTAATCTATATTACAGTGTAGGCTCTTAGAGGACAGGGGCCTACCTTCTTAGGTTTGGAATTCAGAGCCAAAGGGAAAAATTAAACAGCCAGACTGATGTTTAGGGATAAAATAGCCCCCATGACAATTTATCTTAACCTTTTTCCTTTCTTGATTTTTCTCTTATTCGATTGCCTTTTTATACATGCAATTATAGATACTCATATCCCTTATATAAAATGCAGTAGTATTTTTGTATAACCAGTGCACATTCTCCCTCGTACCAGAACTCATCTCTCTAGACTACTTATAATACTAGGTAAATGCAGTGTAAACAGTTGTGCTGTACTGCTTACAGAGTAATGGCAAGAAAAAATGTCTGTGCCTGTCCAGTACAGATGCAGTTTCTTTTTCTGAATATTTTCAGTCTGAAGTTGGTTGCACCCAAAGATGCGGAGGGCTTACTGTTTGTTGCTCTATAAACACATACATGCATACACACATATAAACACATACATACACACACAGGTAGCTTAAAGACTGATCTGTGGCCCCTAAACTGTTCCTGTGGGCTTCTGACCTCAACATTTCAGACCATATTATTTTTCTCTCCAGAGGGAAAAAGCACAGTGAACTGTTTGCTTAGATTCTGGAGTGTAACTGAATAACGTATTTCCTGAGCTGCCCTTTTCTTGTTCTCATGTTTCCCGGTTGTTGTGGGGGACAGAAATGAAATAGACTCTTGCAAACAGACAAGAGGCCATGATCTCTGGCACCGCAAAGGTATCAGAAACTGGAACAGTAAAGAAAGTGGCAAGCCACACCCTCTGCCCCTATCTGCCCTGGATATTTATGCAGCAGTGGTTACTCTGCTTGCTCTAATGTTTAAATTACAGTAGAATGAGAGCCTTTGATGGAACTGGCTGCAGAGTTTGATACAGGAGGGCAGGGCGAGGTGGGGTAGTCTCTGTAACTGGGCTGTTGTTAGACATGAGCCTTAGGGACCTTTGCTCTGTCTTTTTGGGCGGCTTGATGTGGACCATGTTACGCAGTCTACAAAATCTGAGTCTTTTCAGCTGGTAAAAGGAGAGTCTTCGCATTACCATGGCTTTAGTGGGCATGTCCTGGGCTGTTTTGCCCAGTGGTCAGTAGCTTTCATTCTATTTTCCTTCCCCTGAGCCAGCACGCAGGGCCATCTTCTGGGCAAACAACCCATATTGTTGGACAGGAAGCACACTTAGAAGGGATCCATGTTTAATTTAATGTTCTGCTGTTGCTGTCATGAAATTCTGAATAATTCTTTAACAAATGGCCCTCCTTTGTTGTTTTGCACGCGGCCTCACAAATGACATAATCAGTCCTACCAGGACATTTAAACTCCTCACCACACACAGCATATTTATACAAATGTTAGACAATTGTTTAATCCTTCAGATCCTGCCCCTGCTCTTGCGTCCCACTTTGCCCTAGGTGCTAACTGGTTCTAACTCTGGGTGTCCTCTTCTCTACCCATGACTCCTCCCGTGTAGTCAGTGGGCCTAGTGTGTCACTTTATGGTGACAAAAGACTCTCTAAACGTCTCTTCTCTGGGTTCTGCTTTGTGCTCCCCACACCACCAGCACACCCTGGGCTCCATGCCCTGAAGCTATGTGGGCTTCTGCACAGCGATGTTGTGCAACCTCCAGCTGCTGTCCTCTCTCCCCCAAGAACTGCACCCACTTCCAGCAAT